CCCTTATACAGGTAATTGTTGTGTGCTTTGATGTAATTCAGTAAGCAAACAAATTAATCCAATCAAACACGAAGAACGGGTTGATTACATGTGAAGTTTTCTACCAGGAACGTAAATACGAACAATTTTCTCTTAAAAAGGTTTACACGAAAGCATCCATCCCCTTAAGCAGATAGCGTTTGCGTGCTTTTCCGTAATCTAATCCTAATTCTCATACATTTAATAGTAAGTTGACATACACCTTATTACAGACAAAATAACAACCTTTTTTAAAGATTTTTTTTTTTTTTAATTAACTTGTCTGAATTCCCTTTATCTCTTGAGGAGTATAAGAATTTCAGCAAATAAAACTGGCCGAAAATTTTATACAATGCAACTGATGTTTTGATTCAATTTAGAAGTAACGTGAGCTTTACTGATATTTAAATACTTTTTGGCAGATCTCATTCTAAAAGAAGGTCTAAAGATAAATTGATTTTATTTAATTTACAATCAAAGAAAATCAATGAAAGCAATCATTGAATGAAAGAAAATCACAAAAACTATTATGCATAAAATTGTCTCTTACTTATCTCTTGATAAATCACACAAAATTGTCTACATAATAGAAGCACTTTGAAAGAGTTAACAGTTCTTAAGGGTTTTATGCACTCAAAAAAAAAAAAAAAAAAAAAGTCAAAATAAAATCTTATTATTCATAAGTATGAAAAGGAAGTAAACGATAAAAGCGGTTTTACCTATTTTCTAGAAGGGCATTAAATCTAAAATATTAATCTATTCTTATTTGCTATGACTAAAAAGCATTAAATCTGGTAAGCTTAAACAGCGTGCAAAATCGCTGACGTTTTAATCTTAGCAAAAGTCAGTACTAAAAAAATTAGCACTAAAATTATGAGACAGTGCTCTAACATTTGAGAATGAGATGGCCTCTATTTGATTTTCAAGTATATTGGCGCGAGACGAAACCTGCGGTTTTTACCAAAATGTAGCCGAACTGATAAGAAGAGGGAAACAATGCGTAGCCAGCGGCTATTCTGAGCAGCGACAATGGACCACCCAGAGACCTACAGATAGGCGATTCTCTAAAATAGGGAGGGAATGGCTGGTACGACAGTTGTACCACAGCCGGCATTAAAGAAAGTCATTTTCCTGGTACAACTGCTGTACCAGCCGGCTTCAAAAAGTTAATATATCATTTAATCCACTTATTATATATATTAAAATCTGTGCGCATCTATCTGTGCACATGTAACATCATTTTCTCTCAAACCGCTCGCTTCTAGGTTTAGTGAAACACAGCGTTGGATTCCAAACATACCTGGTAAGCCATTTTGACAATTCCCACCTTCGTACGACTTTAATTAGCTGAGATATTAATTAAAAACCCTTTTCTGAACAATAAATTCACTTCCTTTGTTGGGTTTTTCCCTATTAAAGGGATTCGGCTACGCACCAATTTCTTTTTTCACAAATATCTATCGAACGACGCTTAGTTGAATTTCGAAACACACAACCCCCCTCCCCCCCCGATTCCAAAAATTCGTTGGAATACAATGATACCATTCTCATCTTCGTACGACTTTAATCAGCTGAAATATTAAATAAAAACTCTGAAAACACTAATTTGAATGAGACTCAATAGCCACTTTAGGGACTTAGCCACTTAGGGACTCAATAGCCACTTTAGGGACTTAGGATTGGTGCAATTATTTTTGGCAGCATTGGCATCAAGAATAGTTTGGCGATTTTTTACGGCTCTCGAAACCGAAACATATTATGCGCTTGCGCACATGTATATTCGCAGCCGGAAAGGTCTTACGTGCACGCGTAAACGCCTATGCGCATGCGTTTGTAGCTTTCTGCTTAGGGACTTAGGGACTCAATAGCCACGTAGGGACACTTAGGTTTTTCCCACACTGATTCCTGAAAGATGTAGCGATCCGGTGCCGTCATAATATGTTAAAAACTATAAACCGCTTTAGTGATTTTTATTTTTAGATTTTTTTTAGCAATGAATTGTTCTAGCTTAGAAAATTATTTGTTATTTAACTTTTTTTACCACGGGGCTGCAGTGAGCTCATCTTGAGGGCTTACCAGCTAGTAATAATTAAAACTGTATTTTAAATTTCTAAAGTTAACAGGCATTTTAAAATTCAAATTAAATTTCTATTTTATGTATACAGTCAAAAGTCGTTAATTCGGACACCCATAATCTGGAATGATGTATAATCCGGACCTGAAAGCTACAAACCTTCTGCGCATGCGTCGCGTTGACGCATGCGCATAGGCATTTACGCGTGCACGTAAGACCTTTCCGGCTGCGAATATATATGTGCGCAAGCGCATAATATGTTTCGGTTTCGAGAGCCGTAAAAAATCGCCAAACTATTCTTGATGCCAATGCTGCCAAAAATAATTGCACCAATCCTAACGCAAGAAAGGAAGTATAATAGTAAATAACTATGTAAGATTGATATTTTAATCTAGATGAAAGGTTAATTTCATATAATACTTTTTTATTATTATAATTTATATGAAAAAGGTTAAACATGACTGAATGGAAGCATAAGAGTAAATAAAATTCCAGATCATTATTATAATTTATATAAAAATTGCTAAACAAACTGAATGGATACCTGCATCACTATTTCGCTACGACTTATCGCTAAAGCATAATTTCATCTCGCTGGTTGTTCAAACGTAATTTTCTATAATGAATGATGCCTTTTCTTTGAAAATATTCTTGGTAAAGTGCAGAATCACCCACTTATTTGTTTGCCACTTTTTACAAGGGTAAAAACAATTGGATTTTTGTTAATTTTCTTTTACTTTTTAAGTGAAATCAGGTCGATATGTACATAGATAAAGCCAAGAGTGTGCGCAATGCCATTTTTGTGCAATTCTGGGATTTTTTTTTAAGTGAAAATAGGTCGATGTGCTCATAGATGCCGAGTATGTGCAATTCTTAAAAACGCGTCAAGCAGTGAGTGATTCTGCACTTTACCCAAAATTCTATTGTTGACTTTTCATCATGGGCGATTCCCAAATTGTTAAATCCATAGGATATTAAAAAGGATTTAAAATCAAAAAAGGATTTAAAAATCAAACTAGTATTTCAATGGCGTCTTAAAAAATATAGAACTATATAAACTTACACAATCTAAAACCCGAGTATTTGCTAGATTTGGCGTTTTTGCGTATACATTTTCACTGCAATTTTTTACGGTCCTCAAAACGGAATAGTACCCAAAAAGCATTTACAGATGTTCAAAATTCTTGGGAGTATGGAACTAACAATGCAGTAGTAATTATAACATATACAAAATAAACTAAAATAACATATACAAAATAAACTTTATACAGTCAAAATTCGTTAATTCGGACACCCATAATCCAGACCTGACAGCTACAAATTTCTGCGCATAGGCTTTTACACATGTGCGTAAGGTCTTTACGGCTGCGAATATGCATGTGCGCATGCGCATAATACGTTTACGTATGCACGTTTAATGTATAACGGACGGTATAAGCTAAGCTAAAATTATCTAATTCAGTTAATGTTGCAGATTGCATTGTTCCTTAATCTTCGAATTGGATCCGGCTTATTATTTTTTGCAGACTGTTAGAGCAATTTTATAAAAGTAAGCTTGAACTTTCGATTATGTCAAATAGAATTTCCGATATATATTTACTAATATGTAAAGGATCTACAAGGAGAAAGTATGTTTCGAAGTCCATTAAACAAAAAGTGGAATAGCTGCAAAAAATGGGCAAAGGCATATCCTTTGTTTTTCAAACCATTCCGAAATCTGTTTATCAATTTCGTGCTGTTCTGCGGCGACGGCCGGGGGGGGGGGAGGCCGTGGTGCGCAATGATCAAGATTAATCAAGAAATATTTATTAAGTTTTAAAATAAATATTTAAAAGACAGCTGGTCTATTTCTTTCATCCATCACAGATGATCATATCATACGTTACAGTGCTATGCACATATAATACAAAACCATTTACAGTAACATAATGTATAGAATATACTCGTAATAAGAAAACAATGCAAATGATAATAAAATGCTGAATCTGTCGAAAAATACTCTAAAATATATTGAGAATAGTCACTACTTAACTACACTTCTACGAAATGCTATACAGTTTTTTGGGATAACAGAGTTATCAGGTTAGGCTTTAAATCTGAGGCAAAAAAATCTAGTAAAAAAATAAAGATTAGTATTGGATTCGGAAATGTATTAATGTCGGTGGAAAAATCAGACATACGATGATCTACAATTAGTTAAAAAGGTATTATTTATTTTACATATTTATATAATTGTTTTAAGAAACATACAATTTTTAATAATAAAAAGTTTATATTATAGATAAGTAGATATATTTATTAATAATAATATATTATCAAAAGACATTATTACAATTAATTACTAAATTTAATTATTACATTTTTCTTGCCTTGAATGAAGCAAATTTATCAATTACTTCATCTCCTTTCGATGAAGTAATTCAAACATTTCAAATTTTTTTTCCCACATTTAAAAATGCTAGATCACTTAGGCTATCTGGTCCCATCATCGATTGTAAATAAGTCAAAAGTAATTTTATTTTGCTGAACGAACGCTCAGAGCTAGCATTTGATAATGAAACAGTAAAGAGTAGTTGAAGTGAGACTCTTAGGTTTGCGATTTTTGGCGCAAAAATCGCCGCTTCACAAGCCAAAATAACGAGTCAAAGAATTGCACAAAATCGGTATCCATGTACCGCCAAAAATCGCCAAGGGGTACCCTAAACTATACTTTTACCGAAAACTCTAAATAACAAAATTATTTAAAAGAAATTAAAATCCAAAATCGCTGCTAACATATATACATATAATTAAACTAGAATCCAAAATTTCAGCTAATATAAAATAAATAAATTACTATTGAAAACATACATGAATATTTCAACATACAGCAGAAAACTATTCTATAATAATGAAATACAAACTTTACATTTTCAATCTGGACAGGATGTGTGAATTTTTTATGATGCTCGGGATTTTTCTGATAACATGAAAAGCCATATTTACACATTGGCTTATCAGCAATTTTCCTCTTACGAGAGTTTTTTCTATCCATTTAAATTTTCTATTCCTAGCGGGTATCAAACATCTAACACAACAAAATTTTACGCGCGCCCTTACGTCAAACGCGCGGTTTTCATACTACTCCCACATTATTTTGCATTTTGAAGAAGAAATTAGAAACAACAAATGTAACTTCTTTCTTTTCCTTTTTTCTCAATCTAAGTAAAAACGTATCAACATATAACAAAAAGAAAGCTATATATATATATAAGAAACAGTGCATATTTTTTACTAACCTCCTTGTTTACTACTGAAAGATTATTTCAAATCAAGGTGAATATGAAGATTCTAAGATGGTAAAAAAACACATCTATAATATTATAGTTTTCTATAATCATACAGGAATATAATATTACGATGTTATTATTTCAGTTTATTTTAAAAATTAGAGTATATCAGTGCGTATTTTTTAGTATTATAAGCAGCCCGCTTACATCTCAACTTAAGAGTTTGTCTTCTGCACCGGATCTGGGAATCGCGTTTCTATTTTTGTCTTCCTCTGAGTTCGTGCACTGCTGATTAAATACCTGTACTGCATGAATGCGGCTATAAACAGCTCTGGAAAACAAGTTGTGCTACTAGTGGCTCAAAAACTCGGAGCTTTCACTTCAGAACATGTGACAGTTTTCAATGAGGCGCGTAGGGAATGACTGCGATCTGTTTATCCATTTTAAATTACGCTCCAACTTGTTAATATCAACAAGTGTGCAGTGCCAGATTGTATATTCTGAATAGATCATTCCAAGACATGTGGATCACGTAGGAATTGTCACAGTGATTTGGAGTGCAGTTAATACTTTGATGTGAGAATAACATAAGTGAGTGATACTTTTTTTTTTTTTTTTTTTGGCAAAAGCCAAACTAAATGAACGTAAAATAATTAGTCTGGTCAAAATGCCAATGTCGCCAATTCAGATGGATACCGAAGAAGATGTCCATGACATCATATTTAAACAACAAAAAATCATCGAAAGATTAAAGGAACTGTTAGAAGAAAAAGACGAAGAAATTCAAAAGCTTCGTTGCTTATTAGATAAATACCAATCCGTGTTTAGTCCAAATTTTAATTTAAATAATTGTTACGGTCGCCGGAAACACAGAGCTCAAGGAATTTCGGCAGAACCTCTTTCATTAAGAACTATTCAAGAACTTATACAGACGAAGTTTCCTGAGTATCCAAAGTCAGAAAAGTAAGTTTTTAAGTCACCTTTATTTATTTTACTTCGCTTATACCTAAGTGAAAAATTGAAGTGTGTTAATATGGTATTAAAACAGAAATAGGAGAACTGAAGACTTTCTTTGAAACAACGCAAATTTTATCACGTTATTTATAGATCTATTGATTTTAGTTACGATATATGGTAAGGGAACTATTAGTTAAAAAGAGAGTGAGAGAGAAAAATAATTTCGTGCTGTTATTGTTTAACGTCTTATTGTTTTTTTCCCAAGAACGTAGTTTTGTAAATAATTTGGCCTTTATTTTTTTAATACCAATTTAACTTTATAAACTTAATAAAGTATTTCTCCCGTCGCCTTAGCATGCCATCGTGGTGTAATGGTCAGCACACGGCGCGTATTCGAGAGGTTCGAGTCCCGTCGAGGGCATTGCTCATTTTTTATGTCTCCTGTTTCGAAATAACGTAATGTTTCTACAGCTTTATTAAACAATGTATATTAAAATACAAATAACAATATAATAATTAATAAATTATAATATAATGATTAATAAATTAAACAGGGTTTTATGTGTATAATTGTCTTATCAAAATACATGTTACTTCTCATTCCATCGATTCTGGATTTTTTTTATTGATCTAGGTTTTAAACAAATAGATAAATAAATTTTATGAGTAGTTATCACTATTTTCTGCTTAGCCGTTTTTCAATTTATGTTCCGCTCATTTCAGATGTGACCGGCACAACTTCGCGAAAACATACCTTAAATATTTAGAAAATCTGAGTAGTAGTGCATGATGGGTTTAAAAATGTCAAACTTACTCTGTAATACGTCTTTCCTTTCTTTATAAAAAGTTTGATTATCTGTAGTAAATAAGCAAGAAACTGAATTTCCCGCCCTTACAAGATTTTATTCAAGTGTTGCCATTTACAAAAAATAAAATTCTTGCATTAATTTAAGGAAACGGTGTAGAAATGTTAAAGCGCATTTTACCACCTCATTTATTGAGCCAAAATAAGTACTAATTTATTTCAAGAAAGGAGGGGAAAAGTGTGTTGTAAGATGAGTCTTGAGTCTTTTAAGGTAATTCATATGAAATAGTGCAGGAAATAGCCTGCTAAAAATTAAATGGAGGAATACATATAAAGTGCGCTTTCATTTTTACGAGATCGTAGGTACTTTAAAAGTATTTCGAAAGTAAGAACAGCATTAATAAAGCTGTAATTATTTTTCGATACAGCAGCTATCACGCAAGTGACATCTCGTAAAATTATATTAGTTTGAAAATCGGACATTCTTAAAAGTGCTAATCCACCATATTGATCCTTTGAGCGAAATCACGGCTTTACAAGAATTATGACTTATTTAATCTTTTTGTGTAATTAACTTTTGGTTTGGTTCTTTGCTCCATTATTTTATACAGTGATTTTAAAATCGTACTCAAAGAAATAAACTGTATATTTATTTATTGCTTAAATCGAAATATTGATTAAAAATAATAAATATATCATGAATGATTTAAAATTGCGGCTTCGTAGTGCTTTTTACAGATGCTAGTATTACAAACAAATTGGAGTCAATTTGGTAAGTAAAATTACCAAAAGGGTATAATGCGCCTATAAAAGAAACGCTCAATTTTTTTATTGATGTTAAATAATAGGAGTAATGAATGGTCGAATACCGTAAATAGGCTTAATTTTTAATATTTTTATAAGAACTAATAATCAGAAGGAAAAACAAATGCTCATTTGAAAGATAATAGTCCATTAATAAGAAAACTGCGGACTTCCGAGCGGTAAAGTCGCTGAACACTGGTAGTTCGGGTCCGAGGTTCGAATCCCGGGAACGGGCTGGCTGCATGGGTGTTTTCGTGGTTTTCCCCATGTGTAACGTGTGTACGAGCCAGTTTCCCTTAGAAAGTCCTCCACGAAGGCATCCCTCCTCTTAGGCAGATAGCCCTCGAGGCTTTGCTGTAATTAAATAACCTAACCTTTCCTAACCATCACACACCACAAGCCCATACAAATTTTTCCCATCATTCAAATTCACCCCAGTCACGCAGCCAATTACATCATAATAGAGTTTCCATAACATAGAAGTACTCAGGTTACCATAAGTGAAACAACAACTTGGCGATAAATGAAATAACAACTTCGCGATAATACAAAGGGCACCCTTAAATCTAACCCTATTTATAATTAGTTTAATATTTTATTAAATTTCTATTGATCTCTTTACATTTCTTTTAATTTATTTATTAATTATTTTAATTTTTAGTTATTTTATTTTCTTCCTTCCTGACAGTCTTCCATAAGGCGCCGTCACTTTTAATTTTAGAAATCAGGCTTTGATTTTTGGATATTGCTCCAGCATCTTCGTCGCTTTAGGCGATCAGTACAGTTGGCGCCTCGTTTGAATTAAATATATGAATACTTCAAAATGAAATATACCTTTATTAAGTTACTACTTGGGCGACCAACTGAGCTGAGGCTTCCCGAAAATTGGCGCCTTGGGCTACTATTGATGTCACGAGGCTTGAAGTTGGCTTTGGTCCTGCTTGCTCATAAGAAAATCCGCAGTTCGGATCCCCCAGATGTTTTTATCTCATTAAATGTAACACGTTTAAAAACTGTTTTCCATTGTTATGTTCTGCATCATTGATCAAAATTAACCAAAATTATTTGAATGTTGACGAACGTTTTGGATGTAGATGTCCTGGAGTTCGTTATATGCACCGGAATTGAAAGCATTTGCAGAAATTAATGGTAGGCTGCGCATATGCCTACAATTTGGGGGGGAAGGGGTGGCACGTTGCACATTTACTCGAATGCGCGATGTTTTAAAAATTTCGCTCTTAATATCGGCATTATTGTTATAACATTTCTGATATAATTTCTCCTTTGTTAATATGAGGTTGAATTTTCTTTTATATAAGTGGTAATTTCATATCTGCGTAACTGCATTGCAGTAGAAATATAAAGATGAGTAAAATGGACGTGTAGTTTTAAATTTATTTACTTCGTTTATCTGTGTTTAGGAAAAGTAGTAGCATGTTGGCCTTAGTAAAATTAGTTATTGCTTTTAATGTTTGAATAATTTTCTTGTGTAAATATGCCTATCTTATCAGATCTCATATAAACAAAAAATGACAACAGTAACAATTCTGCATGAATATTACCTCTTCCTTTGAAGTAACAATGATTATTTTTATATGATAATATATGAAAACTCGGATTCGAAATATATGGCTTTCAGATTCAGCTTACACTGAAACTTAATTTTAGTAGTGTGGTATCCGAAAAAGCTATAATACGCAAATTTGCAGATCCTGTTTAATTCATGATACTCACCAGTTATAAAAATCCATCGCTAGTTACATTAAAATTACGAGAGTTAACACTGAAATTTTTTAGATACACTTTTCTCCTTTAGTGAGATTGTGGCCTTGGCTACTAATGTTTAAAATTAATTTATGATTAGGAACAGCATGAATTATAAACAAATAGCTAAGTTTATTGCATTTTATTTTCCAGCTATCGAAATGCGACGCTACGAGCATCATTTTGAAACCAAAACCTAGCAATCAGGAATCAGAATTAGTTGCCATTCAGCATAAAGAAATTTAAATATAAATATGAACTACTTGTTGCCATTCAGGATAAAAGAAATATAAATGTGAATATTAACAAAATATTAAAGTTAATTTTATAAAATAATTAAACACATGAACAAATAAATATATGAAAAAAAAAATAATTATTTCTCATGCAATAACTGGGCCACTACAAGATCCCTACGGTCAGAAACTCTTCACTGTCACGACTAACACTCAAGGAGCCGGCAAAATCGGCAAAACTTACCAGATCTTAGGAGTGAGGAGTATTGAAAGTGTTTCCATTCAACATCAGTGCA